AGCGTTATTTTGGATTATGGACTCAATGTATTTGAGTTAAAAACGTCTTAATGCTGGATGTGTTTCAGCTTTTGTCTTCTCCAGATGTTAACTGAGTGCTGTGGATTATTGTGATGTTTTTATCAGCTCTCGTTCTGACGGCACCCATTCACTTGCAGAGACACTGATGCAATGCTACATTTCTCCAGATCTGACGAAGAAACAAACTCATCCTAATCTTTGTTGGCCTGAGAATGAGCACATTTTCATTTTTTGGGTGAACTAGCCTATTCTTTCAAATAACAACTCATTTCACTTCCAAAATTTGACATTCAGACATTGAGAAAGCAAATGTAGTTCAGGACTTGATGTTATCCAGGAACAGATCGTTACGTGGCAAGTCATTACATTTGCATGGAATATTACGAAGAGATTCAGATCCATATTTTAGGAGTTCTCTTGAACAACACAGAGTTGAATAGATGCATGAATACACGCATGTGTGCAGTTGTAAGTATATAAACTGTACGACTCATAATGCGTCCTGAAATAGAAGCAGAGATATAACATAAACCTGAATTTCCTTAGAACTGTGCGACAGATTATTGCATGCATGCATAAATGCAAGTACAGCAGAAGTGCGCGCACAATAGGAATCCTGTCAGAGATTGCTCACAGATTGCATTGAAAATGAGCAGCTTTTCAAGCAACTTCCATTTAATGCGATGGGCTTTTGTTTTGTTGTTAGGTGACGACTCATTTGATCAGGGACGTGCATAAACCCACACAAATCTAAAAATGTTATTAGAGCACCAGACAAGTGACCAAGAGCCAATGAGGGAAGCGTTTTAATTTTGCTTTATGCATCTTACAGCAAGACAACCATGACTGCAAATGGAAACTGTTGGGGAAAAAAAAGAGACAAAAAGTGCAAAATCCTTTTTTACATTTTTTTAATGTTTAAAAGAGAAATGCTATGGGGTCACACACGTTCAGATTCCGCATGTAATTAATCAATTGTAATTCATTCTCATGTGAACGTTTCTTCTTCCATTCAAGCTCAAGATGCTCCTTGGAGACACTTAACACGGTTTAATTTAACTTTGGACTCACATATCATTGGTTATAAAGCTTCATATTAAATTATACACATTTAAAGAAGAATCATTAATGATCTCAGACTTTTCATTTTTTTTGTAAAATAATTGAAATAATTAATGGATAACAATTCAATGCTCCATTGAAACAAACACTATACCAATGCAATGCTTGGAGATATTAGAGGAGACTGGGGCAAGTTGTCACATTTTGTGTGTGTGTGTGTTTTAAACTCTTTTTAATATTTCTCAGTGTGATTTTATTTGTAAAATACAGTTTACCGTAAACCAAATCCCAATATCGGGGCATATTGTTCCAGTTTATTGGGTTCATTTATAATTTAGTTGCCTATAAACAACTACAAATGTAAAGGTTATAAACCAAAACCATTGTTTTGACTAATACTGTAATTAATCCACTGACTGAAATTACAGTACACCTGTGACAACTTGCCCCGCGCTGTCAACGATGAAGAATACTCGTCCCTTGAAGCTTCAGTTCAAATCTGCCTTCATAATGTCTTAATGTACATAACAGCTACTGAATGTGCATTTGAAGGACAGAATTTAGAAACGACCACCATGCACAACAACGGCTAGAAAAAGTACTTTAAAGCCCAAAGTTATTGAGATGCAGATCTTGTGACAACTAGCCCCGTACTCAAAACGCAGCGGCAAAGTGTGAAGAGCGAATGTTGAAAAGCGACTTACTGTTATTCAGCGGGAGCTTCACACGCATCTTTGACAAATCCAAATTAAACCCTGCGGCTCGTGACGACACATTGATGTCCTAAGACACGAAACGATCAGTTTGTGCGAGAAACCAAACCGTATTTATATAATTTTTTACCTCTAATACACCACTATGTCCAACTGCTTTGAGCAGTGTGTACGCGCTCTGGCGTAGTTTACGCAAGCGCCGGAAGTGATCTCTCGCGCGTATACGTCACTCATTGTTTACACAGTGCAGTCATTGTAGGTACGACGGCTAATCAAAATGGTACTTACTTGCGCTTATCCAGATTGTTCAAACTGGACTTAAAACTAAAAGATTACGTTCTCTCGCGCGAACTCATTCGGGAGTGGTGACTTTCCACGTATTCCCAACTTCTGAGCCCGCTCGCCTTACGTTATGGTTGATTGCTCTTCGTCTGGATATCAACACACCCGTTAACCTAAACTACGGCAGAGCGCGTACACACCTCACGCACCGGATGCCGTGCGTGCACAAAGCAGTTGGACATAGTGGTGTATTAGAGGTAAAAAATGATATAAATACTGTTGGGTTTCTCGCACAAACCGATCGTTTCGTGTCTTAGGACATCAATGTGTCGTCACGAACCGCAGGGTTTAATTTGGATTTGTCTGTGCATGTTTTTTTTACTCTCATAGATTTTCATGCATTATACGACTGACAGACTGCAACGGCTGGAGTTAGAAATAATCAAATGTGTTCTACTGAAGAAACAAAGCCACCTACATCTCGGATGCCCTGCGGGTAACAGATAAACATCACATTTTCATTTTTGGGTGAACTATCCCTTTAATATTATTTTTCCAGGTATCAGAGAACAAAAGGTCAATCCACTGTTAATCTGGGGAAATATGAAGACAACAGGCGTGAGCCGAGACCAAGACACAAGTGAAAGACAGATTTCTTTAACGAGGGATGGAAATTAGAGACACATCTAGCTCAAAAAAAGTTTAGTTTCATTAGTTTGAGGAAGAGAAAATGACTCAAAGAACTCAAGGACAGTACATTCTGTACGAATTCTGAATTCTCTTTGATGAATCCGTGCTGAAATATAAAACTGGGGTGGTTTGCTGGGACAGACACCAAACTAGTTTGTTTCAGACAGCGGTCAGCTGGCTTAAATCAGCTTTATCAGCAACGAACAGTTTCCACCTACAAATCAGGTATTAAGGTTTTAAATTATTGGATTAATTATTAGAAAAATGGTAAAATCACAAGAAAAATACCTTACAAACAGTAAGACAGACACAAGGCATTGGTTCTCCCAAAAAAAAACTATTTTCCAACTTTATTCTGCAATTGCTTCAAATCAGAACGTCAAAATATTAATTTCATTTGAAGAAAACAAAACAAAAGACATCAAAACTGAGAAGGGAATCTGAAATAAAAACAGCAAACATCAAAACAACATTAAAACTGCGAGAGTTCACCCATCATAAACACATTTTCTACAAATATACCTAATCAATGTTTTTACAGCAGTAGCTTTTTCTTAAATATGGTTCTTTGAATAGTCAAAAAGCTCAAAACCAAAGCAATATTATTGTAATATTCTGTAGGCCACACCTACAGATGTTAAAATGCTTCGGTCTTGAGCAAAACGATGAGGGGCAACAAATGTAAATATGGATCAGCTAATCTATAATCGACCATATATGTGAACACGCATATTAAATGAGTATGTTTTACATAAGTCAGATCCAAAAGAGACCTCAGGTTCAAGTCTTTAATATTTAACAGCTTCATAAACAGCTTCTGGATTGTTGGTAAAGCGGGTCATGAATATGGATCAGTCTTTTATCTCTGGGTTGGTGGGTTGGTATCTGACACTAGTTTCGCAAACATAAAAAACAAAGACTTGTGACAGATACAGGCCAATAAATTTCATGAAAATACATAAATGACTCATTCACACGCCCCTCTAAAATGCTCTTCTGTGGATCACAAAAGATGGCAAAAACAAACAAAAAAAATTCATACGGGTTTGGAATGACATGAGGGCGAGTAAATGATGAGCGACTCTTAATTTATAGGTCGAACTATTCCTCTACGATGGCTAAGGTCTCCTCAGGTCAAGGCTGGGAATTGATGGCGGCGTTATCAAAGAGCAAGACGACTTAATCTCGCTACTGATTTCTAGTCGTGTCCTCTTTTGGAAGACCAAACAAAGTAGTTTCGCTTTCACAACGAAGCACACAGTGTCTTCAGGACATGGTGGCAGCGTCAACAAAACTGCAGCGAGAATAAAAGTTACGCCTTCTTTGGGCGGCGTTATGCAAATCTTCCCACATAGTGATGTAGACATGTGGGGGCGTGTTAGAACGAGCCGTTTTAGGTAGGCGTGGCTGACTCTTAACTTTTATAAAGAATATCTCTTTGGCTTTGAGACTTTAGTCTTTGCAACTTTACAGATCTTCTTTATGCACCAAGAGCTTGTAACACTCCAAAGAGAAAGGAACAATTGAAATTGCATCATATGACCCCTTTAAGTCATTTTATAGAGTCACAAAGGGCCATCTGTAGTAGAAAAATCTATATTCAGCATTGTCTTCCTTGTGACTGTTCTGTATCAGGGTTTCTGCAGGACTTTTAAGCTCAAATTTAAGACCTGCACAAATAAAATTAATACCATATGAGCGGGGTAGGGCAATGTTTATAGGAACATATTAAACTGTAAAATTACCGTAAAAAGGCAAGATTTAGTTCAGATACAAGTTTTCACAAAAACAGAAAGTTTTATAAAATGATACACTTCACATTTCAGCCTTTAAATGGATGAGTCGAAAGTATTAATTATTATATTAATTTAAAGGCACAATATGTAGGATTTTTGTTATAAAATATCCAAAAACCACTTGCACAGTGTGATATGTTTCATGCAGTTGTGTACTTGCGTCGTCCCAAAAGTTCCCAAGGATTTGTAAATCCAGAGAAATTCCCATTTTAAATAATGACTCGTTCCTGTTCCTCCCTAGTCTTTGTCGCCGATCAATGACGTAATATCTACACTATACTCGGCTTCAGCTCCATAGAAACTAAAAAAAAAAATGCTGCTGTACAGTTAAACTAAACCCATAATGGCTGTCGCGAATAAAATGAAAATTAAATGAAAAGAGTTGACTGCCGCATTAAATTTAGATTCTTTTTACACGTTTTTACAGTGTTGCGTATTATAACCAATCACACACACGAGTCTGTTGAGTTTATGAACGCAATGGCCAATCAGATGCGTTCAGATGAGTCATCTTCATCACCAGAAGAGTTTTTCAAGCTTTGCCTTTTTTATTGTTTTGAAAATGCGACCTCTAGCGGCGAAAACTTACATATTGTGCATTTAAACAATTATCAATAAATTATTATATTAATTAAATAACATATAAACACATTTTACAATGCATTATCTTCTTATCGATCCACCAGTTAACATTTACAGCTCAGCGTGTTTGCAGGGTAAAAACATGGGTCGATTTTCACTTTTGTCTGAACAAAAACAGCAGACGGGCTTATTGAAAATGCACATTTATTTTCTGCCAGCAGGTGGTGCTTTCGGAACGGCAGAAATATAACCGTTTCCCTGTTAACGGCACAATATGTAGGATTTTTGTTATAAAATACCCAAAGGATTTGTACACAAAGCAGTACAGCAGCTGACCTTGAAACGTGTAGCGCTCATGTTTATTTAATGAAATCATAGCCTTCTGAAGTTTAATCACCACATTAAGCTGTATCGCATTTCTGGTCTTTTCGTCCCCAAATTTAAGACCTCTTGATATCATAATTAAGACTTTCTTGTACAATTTAAAGGGGTCATATGATGCAATTTCATGTTTTTGGAGTGTTACAAGCTGTTGGGGCATATATAAGATTCGTGAAGTTGCAAAGATTAAAGTCTCAAACCCAAAGAGATATTCTTTGTGAAAGTTAAGACTCGTCCACGCCCTCCTAAAACGCCTCACGCCTCCACAAATCTACGTCACTGTGTTGGATGATTTGCATAACTCCGCCCAAATGTTTATGCAAAGAAAGAAGGCGTAGCTTTTATTCTCGCTGTAGTATTGTTGTCGTGGAGATGCTGTGTGTTTCCAAATATGGTAAGGAGCGTAACATTTCCGTCACACGCTTTAGGTTTTCGGCCAATTACAGCGCACTAGATAGCTGGCCAATCAGAACGATGAGCTTTGTAAAAATCGACGCGTTTCAGAAAGACAGGGCAGAGAGGAGCCACAATACTATACAGAATGTGGAAAATAATAACCTTAAACCGCGTAAACGCATTGCATTACACCAAATTCTTCTGTTGTTTTTAACAACGTCATATGAATCCTATAAGACTTTTTATGGCCTTAAATTTGATAGAACTAAATGTAAGACTTTTTAAGGACGCTGCTGTATGTAATATGTGTCCCTGGAGCACAAAAGCAGTGTTAAGTCGCTGGGGGATATTTGTAGCAATAGCCAACAATACATTGTATGGGTCAAAATTATAATTTTTTCTTTTATGCCAAAAATCATATTTTGCATATTTTTTTGCACCCTCAGATTCCAGATTTTTCAAATAGTTGTATCTCAGCCAAATATTGTACATCCTAACAAACCATACATCAATGGAAAGCTTATTTATTCAGCTTCCAGATGATGCATAAATCTCAATTTTAAAAAATGGACCCTTATGACTGGTTTTGTGCTCCAGGGTCACATATACCAGAGACGCAATACTCACATCCTCAAACGATTCGTCCCATCCCTCGCTGGTGACGACAAACTGGACCTTCTCGCTCATGTAGTCTTCGACAGCTCTGAGGAATCAAACAGATCAGATCATTGCATCGGTCACGCTCCACCTACATCCTCTCGAAGGCCTGTCAGCGCTAACGCCATTCCTCTGAAGCGCTTCAAATGGATTAAGAACGCTTCACGCTCTTGAGCTCATCTGAATGCACGTCTGTCTCGTACCCGTTGAAGGCGATGATGTAGCGTTGAAGTTGCCTCTTCTGGTTGTCAGGGAACTTGCCGTAAAGATAGAAGCGTTTTCCTGTTAGGAAGTCTGAAGGAGAGAAAAATTAAGATGATTTATTAAATGTAATACTCAAGACGTCCAAGTCAGGATGAAGTGGCGAGGCGTCAGACCTGGTAGTTCGGGGATGGGTTTATCCTCCTCTTCCTCAGCATCCGTGTTCTCATCAGTAGAGCCGCCGTACAGATCTTCATCTTTCACCTGAACCGCTGCACTTTCCTTCGCTGCTTTCTTCCTCCTGCTCTCCATTTCCACCCTGAAACAGTCGAATATAAACACTGGAGCATTACGCATGTTTTAGCCAGCAGTTGATTATAATGCATCATCAAATTGGCCAAAATATTTAATAAACAAGCATACAAAGGCCCGGCCAATGCGTTTTTGTTTATTAAATATTTTAGGTCATTTTTGGCATACACTACCATTTTTTAAAAATAAATTAATAATTTTATTCAGCAATGGCATATTAAATTGATCAAAAGTGAATTTTTGTAACATTACAACTTCAAATAAATGCTGTTCTTTTTAAACTTTCTAGTCACTTAAAAAAAAATCCTAGGAAAAAAAAAAAGCTATAGCATAAAAGATAATCAGCATATTATACTGATTTCTGAAGATCATGTGACACTGAAGACTGCAGTAATGATGCTGAAAATACAGCTGCGCATCACAGAAATACATTACACTTTAACAGAGATTCACATAGAAAACAGCTGTTTTAAACTGTAATAATATTTCACAATTTTTACTGCATTTTTTTATCACGTAAACGCAGCCCTGTAGAGACCTTTTTCAAAAACATTTAAAGGGGTCATATGATGCGATTTCAAGAAATAATGATCTTTTAAAAAAGCATCATATGACCCCTTTAAAAAATGAATGAAAAAGAAAAAATGAAATCTATAGTTTTGTGCAACTTTGCAAACATAGGGAAAATTACTGGCTTAAAAACAGGACTGGATTGCATGCTTTGAATGAAGGAGAGCACTGTATCTGATTAACACAATCTGAAATAACTCTTCTTCAGCTGCATTTAGACATTATTCAAGAGCCTGAATAATGAGACTCTCAAGACAACTGGGAAAGGAGCACAAAGAGGGAACATCAAAGGAGAATTACCAGCCTTATGAGAATGTCGATCAACATGTAACGACGACGTATTTAGAAAGCAATAAATGTCTGACCTGTTCAGCTCATCTTCAGTGTCCATGCCAGACCCGTCATCCGCTAAAAGTGGAGGTTATGTCCAAAACAGTATATAAAGGTAAGAAAATACATAAATAAATCATGCAATATATTTTGCATCGTCCATAAAGTAAAATGCCTTACAAATGAAAGGTGCTTTATCTCATTGGATTATTTTCTCCTTTTATTTGGATCTTGATAGACGTGAAGCAAATCGAATGAAATCTAATAAAATATGTTCTGAGATATAAAAAAAACATAATAAATAAATAAATAAACATTAATGCGGCTTCCTCCCTTTGACGGCAGGGTTATTATAGTTAAAACAAACAACCAAAAAAATTGTTCATAAGTTGAATTACTTTAAAAATGTCAAATTAAACTATCATTATAGCTAGATTTTTTCATTTTGTTTAATTTGATGTACTAAAACAACTAAAAAAACGCAAAAAAAAAAAACTATACAAATAAAAAAAAGTATAAAATATTTTTAAAATGTATAAAAACTAGGGATGTGCATCTCATGACTCGGGCCGATACGATACGCATATCGATGCATAGCCAACGATACGATACGATACATTAAAGATACATATGAAGCAGCTACCGATGCGATACGATTCCGATTCGATTCAACACAATGCGATTCGATGCAATGGAGAAAATATGATCACTTTTAATGCCTCAAGGCCTGTTTCATAAAACAAGTTAACCAAAAAAGCCAGGCTTATTTCAGTTAGTCGGACTCATTGTCAAATGATTTGGTTCCATAAAGCAAATTTAACATAGATCAAGTTCAGTCACCGTGGCAACGTATGCTGGGGAACTAACCTGGTCTAAAGCAGGTGAACTATCAGACTAAGCTGAGAGAGCTTACAAACACTGACCAATAGTGTAAATAACTTCTTTTTTTACAGTAGCCAAGCAGAAAGGCTCTCTCTGGTTTTATGACAGCTGTACAGATAGCAGAACAGAACATTACAATCAAAAATGGCTCTTTAAAGCATTAAAATAACTAAATTAAAAGTTAAAATCACTGAATTAAAATGAAAATAAAGAAAATGACTTCTAAACTGCTTTAAGAAGCACACATTAACTCATCTGAGCTTAGTAATTAGTACTGAACTAGCTTACATTTGATTTACCCATTACAATAGTCCTTTTACAGTTACTGCTATCATAAAAATACACTTATATGAAGGTTTAAAATTCGACAAAAGGCACATTTAATGTCTAACAACAAATATTTTAGCAAAATGTATATTTTACCGCGCTCCGTCTGTTTAGTGCATGCGCGCAGCTGGATATATTTGCATGACTTTCTAACATTTACACATTAAAAATATACCTGTGACATGTCAGTTATGCAGTGAGGAAAACACAACGTCTCAAACGCATTAAACAGCACAGATATATTCGCTGTTTGCGATGGTGGCTCGATTTGATCCATGAGCGACATTAAGGTCTGCTTAAGAATAAGCGTGCACAAATTAGTGAGGTTGTGTGAATTTAATTAGTCGTTTATGGAACCGCTTTAGCCCCGATTGATTTGTTAGGTTATTTCAAGTCAGGTTTTGGACTTTAATCCCAGTTTTTTCTCGGGTCTCCGTGGTGTTGTGATTCGTCAGAGTCACGCAGCAGCAGCGGTGATGAGAGAGCGCGCTTGACCATCAAATGCATAGATCACAGATTATAGGTCACTTTCTAAATAATAAAAGTATAGTGCATCTACTAGTAATTCTATATAAATAAATCGTATTTTACCAATGCAAATATGTTAGAAACGATGCATCGCGATACAAATGCCGACTTGTAGCCGATGCACACTTTTTAAACCGATGCATCGCATCGTTAACTTTTTATGCCGATGCCCCGAGCGAATCTGGGAACCTTCCCATGACTTAAAAAGTAAAATTTAAATTAAAACAGAAAAAAAAAGACTGTTAATGTTAATAAAAACAATAACACTAGCGGTCTCTATTTTTGCAGTATTCTATGTTTCTTTGTCCCAGACCTGCCCACTTATGGTCGTGCGAATACATCAGCCTGCGGCATAAATGCTAGATCTAACTCTCGACCTGTTGACACATCTCTATTATTGCACAGTATGCCGCTCATGAAGCAGCGTTTATAATCAATGATTCATCGTTTTCCTCTGAATGGTTTTAAGTTGCATGAACACATCCAGGAGAGCGAGGCTTGCTCTTCCAGCCCCTCAATTTACATAGAAATGAGAAACATGCCCAAGTCTCGTCTGTGCGAATGCTGCGGGCGAGTGCCTCTAGCACTTCCAGCCTCTCCAATCCAACCGCTCTTTATGTTTTTTATCTTTCCTGATTGATTGGAGCGCTGCTTTACACGCACTTCATTAACCCGGCCTCTCCTGTCCTCCCTCGTAATCGTGCGACACGCAGCCGGAGTGAAGGGACCCCACGGCAAACGGGTTCACATGCTAACGGTTTTCAACGAGGGCCTGAGCCCTGAGCCTTACCTGTTCTGGCACGATCAGCTTCTATTGATTGAGATCATTGCTGTGTTATCTTCTATATGGCTGTCATGGTTTACATGCACAGATTCTGCTTAAGCCGTAAGGTCATGCATACGCTCAAAGGCCACTCATTTATTGGAAGGAAAGGTCATCAACGGTTTAAGCAAAATTGTATCTTTTTTTAATGCCATGTGCGCATGTCTGTTTCAATTTTGTGAAATCACTTCAATTTTTCGTTATTTTAAATAAAGCTGAAAATTTTAATTAATTGAAATAAAGCTGAAAGATATAAATATTAGATGAAAAACCAACTTAAATGTAAATGAAAATTAGAAATGCTGCTTTGGAATACTTTATAATAGAAATAGGAAAAATTGAATAGAAATACTTTCTAAAATAGCTTTAGTCAGTTTAGTACTTAAACTTGAGATAAATATGAATTGAAGCTAAATAGAAATTACTGAAACTTAAAACTAAAATTGAAAATTTTCATTAGTTGAAAAAGCTGAAAAATATAAACATTAGATGGAAAAATGACTTAAATGTAAAAGAAAATTAGAAATGCTGCTTTGGCAACTAACTACAATAAAACGGTTTTAGTCGTTTTAGTTTAAATAAATATTTTTATAAATAGAAATATAAACAGAATTATAAAAAATGACCAAAATAAGAGAGATCAAGATCAAATAACGTAAAACTAAAATATTTTCATTAATTAAAAAAGCTGCAATATTCTAAACATCAGACGAAAAAACTTCAATGTAAACACAAAAAATAGAAATGTGGCTTTGGCAGCTAAATAAAATAAAACCGTTTTAGCCACTTCAGTATTTGAAATAAATTGTATAAATGAAGCTAAATAGAAATATCTATATTTTAAAATTTCATTAATTGAAAAATCTGAAAGAATATAAACATTAGATGAAAAAGCCACTTAAACGTAAATGAAAATTAAATAAAATATGTTTAGTACTTAAACTTGAAATACATGTGAATACATTTAAAACTAATAAATATCACAGAAAATTAAATTATAGACAGTTAAGCTAATTCAAAACATGATTCAATTCTATAAAAGTATTTCAGTAAATATAATAAACTTTTATACTAAAATCAAAAATACTTATTTCACTCACTGAAATGCAAATCAATTTCGAACCTTTATATAATGTGTTTTTTCTGGATTTTTGGTTGGAATTCCGTCTCTATACGTTAAAATAAACCTACCATAAAAATGACAGACCCTTCATTTCTTTGCAAGTGGGCAAACTTACAAAATCAGCAGGTGATCAAATGCATATTTCCCCACTGTATTCAGAGTATTGTGACTCATGCTGCACTAGACTCTTGTCCAATCAAAAGCTCTCTAGAATAAGATCGTCACTGCTAAATATGAATAGATGCTTTCAGTAGAAGATAACAAGCTTGCATACTCCATTTCTACTCCTCGTCTTTACCTGGATCTTCAGCATCTGTTGAACCTCCGTACTCCTCCTCCTCCTCCTCTTCCTTAATCGGCTGCTTTTTTGGGGTCGTCTGCCTCTTTTCTGGTGTTTTCTAGGGAAGCATGAGAAAATCAATGCTAATTAATTAATGTCACTCATGTGTTTCCTGCTGAGGAATCTGAGGATGTTGTCTCTATGGCAACAACACGCCGCATCAAGGTTATAAAGCTCTTTTCATTCACAAATGAAGACTTTGATGGGAAGACAGTCGGTTTTGCGTGTTTCTTGAGACGTCAGTCCTAAAACATATACAAGTACCGCTTTCTGCGTCTCCTCCTCGCTCTCATCCTCTTCTGCCTCACTCTCTGAACTGGACTCGGCTCCGTTCATGAGATACCTGGAAAAACAACGAGAAACAGAGATTGAGTTTAACTGGAACTGGATGGGAATGTCTGAACATGGAGTCCAGGAGCTGAAATAAGTCTGACGGCTTTGATGGCGATTCCAGAAACAGGATTAAGACTGTAAACACTCATGAAGAATCACACACATGCAAATGTGAGCCTGCAGCACAAAAGCAATGTTAAGTCGCTGGGGGATATTTGTAGCAATAGCCAACAATACATTGCATGAAAATTATACATTTTTCTTTTATGCCAAAAATCATTAGGATATTATGTAAAGATCATGTTCCATGAAGATGTTTTGTAAATTTCCTACCGTAAATATATCAAAACTTAATGTTTGATTAGTAATATGCATTGCTAAGAACTTCATCTGAACAACTTTAAAGATGATTTTCTCAATATTTAGATTTTTTTGCACCCTCAGATTCCAGATTTTCAAATAGTTGTATCTCAGCCAAATATTGTCCGATCCTAACAAACCATACATCAATGGAAAGATTATTTATTCAGATTTCAGATGATGCATACATCTCAATTTCGAAAAATGGACCCTTATGGACTGGATTTGTGCTCCAGGGTCTCAAAAGAGATGCACAAACAAACCAGTCCTGGTGTATTTAGGCCATTATAGACATTTTTCTTTGTGTACCTTTACATTTTGCACATTTGCTCTATTAAACAATGAATGCAAAAAAGTTATATATATATATATATATATATATAAATCATATCTCATAATTGCAATTATTAATTGTTAAATGTCAATTCTGAGAAAAAAAGATCAGAATTGTGAGATGTAAACGCAAGGTTATATCTCACAATTACGAGTTATCAATTGACATATAAACTCAATTCTGAGTAAAAAGTCACAGTTGTGAGTTATAAACTATTAAAAAAAAACATTTTCAGATGTAAACTCAAATTCTGACTTTTTTCTCAGAATTTCCTCAAAGATGCAATTCAGAGAATAAAGTCAATTGCAAGATAAAAAGTGGCAACTACCTATTTATATTTTGTGGTGGAGTTTATATCTTGCAATTCAGACGTTTTCTCAGACTTACAAGATTATAATATAAAGTCGAGTTTGCACCTCACAGTTAATAAACTTTATATATTGCAACTGAGTTATTAACTGTGAGATGCAAACTCAGAATTCTGAGAAAAAAATTAGAAATGCAAAATAAAGTCGCAACTACCTTTTTTATATTTTTGGTGGTGGAAATCAGCTTCTATATAAATCTGCATGACTTTCTGTTATAAAACAAAAACCGAAAGGAGATATTTTGCAGAATGTCAAGAATGTTCTTTTACCTTTAAAATAATGGGGATTTGGACGTGCGAGTGCGTGTGTGTGTGTGTGTGTGTGTGTGTGAGTGCGTGTGTGTGTGTGAGTGCGTGTGTGTGAGTGTGTGTGTGTGCGAGTGTGTGTGCGCGAGTGCGTGTGCGTTTTTGTGACAAATGAGGACATAAATGTGTATAATGACAAAGGTATGACAGGTATTACAAGGAGAAGGTGACTTTTCAGGACATTACCCCATGTCCCCACTTTTCAAAACGCTTATAAATCACACAGAATGGAGTGTATTGAAAATCTGAAATAGCAGAAAGTCTCCTGTGAGGGGTAGGTTTAGGGGTAGGGTTGGTGTAGGGCAATAGAATATACGGTCTGTACAGTATAAAAACCATTAC